AGATGATGCCCCACTGAATCCACCGGAGTGACGAGGTCTCTTGTCAGACCCCTGACCACTCCCCTGAGCTATAACCATCTCAAGTCGTCCGGCCTTATTGGTTGCATCCTGAAATGAAATCTCACTCTCTGTCTCCTTAGCCATATGCAATCTGATAGGATGAGCAAGTCCCTCAAAACCTCCTCACCCCCTCTCTCTCAGTAGGAAGTATAAGAAGAGCATGACGGGCCAAATCCATAAATCTAGTCTCGTACTAGGTGATAGTCATAGAACCCTGCTGAAGGCGCCCAAACTGCCTCCGATAGTCCTCTCTTCTGAGTGATAGGAAGATACTTCTCCAAGAATAGCTGAGAGAACTGGTCCCAAGTGAGAGCTGGTGATCCAGCTGGTCTGGCCAAATAATAATCCCTCTACCATTTCTTAGCGGAACCTGATAGACGAAAAGCAGCAAAGTCGACCCCATTGGTCTCCACTATCCCCATGTTCCGTAAAACCTCGTGACAACTGTCCAAATAGTCCTGGGGATCCTCTGAAGATGTACCGCCATAGCTAGTAGTGAAAATCTTGGTGAACCTATCCAATCTCCACAAGGCATCAGAACACATAGTTGATCCATCACCAGTCTGTGCTATAACGCCCGACGGAACTACCCCAACTGGCTGAGCTGCTATAGTCTGAAATTGGGGAGCCATCTACTCCGAAGTGTGAGTAGCGGGAGTTTGTGCTCCTCCCCCAACTCGAGAGAGGGCTGGTGCTATAGGAAGTATGCCGGTCTGAGTAACACTCTCCATAAGACCCACTAGACGGACCAAAGCATCCTGTAGTACCGGGGTAGCGATGAACCCCTCCGGAACCTGAGCTGGGCCACTGGAACGGTCTGGGCCCGAACCTCATCATCAAACTCTACCTGAGGCTCCGCCGGTGGTGCTGCTGCTCGAGCTCTAGGTTGAGCCCTACCCCTGCCTCGCCCTCTAGCACGGCCTCGGCCTCGTCCTCTGCCCCTCGAAGCAGCTGCCACTGGGTGCTCGGGCTGCTGATCAGCTGATGAAGCGGTACGTGTTCTCGCCATCTGCAAAAGAACAGATTAGAGAGTTCAATTAGCATTGAGAGATCAAACCGCACGAAAGAGATGAATAGAAGTGAAATTGTTCCTAACTCCGTAGCCTCTGGGGGATAAGGACAGACGTCTCTGTACCGATCCCTCATGCTCTACCAAGCTTGTCCGTGAGTTGTGAGACCTGTGCAACGTAGTCCTTTGATACCGACTTGTCACGACCCGAATTTCCCACCTTCGAGTCCGTGATGGCGCCTAACATTGCACTCTCTAGGCAAGCCAACGTTACAAAATATTTCACCTTTTTCCTTTATCCTTTTTATAATTAAAACTTAACAAAATTAACTCAGCAGAAATAAAAGCGGAAGTACATGATTTAACTGATTATCTTTACACTATTAAATAAAGTCGAAATAGATACCACCCAGAAACTGGTGTCATAACTCACGAACATTCTACGAATACTAAAAGTAATGGTTTGAAAGAAAATACATTTGTCTCGAAGAAAGTAAAACAGAAATGAAGTAAAGATAGGAGGGGACGCCAAGGCCTGTGGATGCCTACAGGACTACCTTGGGTCTCTTGAGTGGAGTTTCAGCAACCGACCTCTCGATCAGCCACTACCAGCTCTAAAATTTGCACAGAAAGTGCAGAGTGCAGTATCAGTACAACCGACCCTATGTACTGGTAAGTGCCGAGCCTAACCTCGACGAATTAGTGACGAGGCTACGGCGGGGCATAACAATATATATCCTGCAACAGTTTATACTAAGACGAAAAGAAAATACAGAATGAAATATAATAATAACTTCCATTAAATAAATATGGAACCCAGTCGTTCTACCAATACTCAGCTATAACCAATCCTTAAGAGAGTTTCAACACCACATTAATGAACCTCAGAAGAAGAAGAAGAAGAAGAAGAAGAAGAACACATAAATAACAATTGATGCGGCGCGCATCCCGATCCCACCATATAATCAATAACAAAATGAACATTCACCCTTATTACTCCTTGTTGCGGCATGCAACCCAATCCCACCAGTCCACCCTTATTACTCCTAAATATATCACCTTTATTCCTCTTCTTGCGGCGTGCAACCCGATGCCATATGTCCACCCTTATTACTCCCTTGCGGCGTGCAACCCGATCCTACCAGACAATCACATTTCACCCTTATTCCTCCTGTTGCGGCGTGCAACCCGATCCCACTATATCAGTACAAACCACAAAAATAGGAACAAGTATTTCACAATTTAGCTCCAATCCTCCACAACATTTATACCTCAAATCATGACAACGGGAGGTCTATACAATTGAACTATCAACAGTTAATACTACACAGTGAAACCAGCCAAAGTATGCCATGAGGCACTAATCACCAACATAAACCAACAATATAACATAACAAAACTACGTAACAATTAACACCTTCAGTAGAGAGGACAACAATTAACATGAAGCAATTAGACATGGAAGCATTTATAAGAAGGTAGTAGTCAAGACAGGAAAGCAATGTAATAGGAACGGGGAAGGGAACATGCTAAACAGATAATTTGGCGACGCATAGGTACTCGTCACCATACCTATACGCCACACACATGAAACATCACATAGCAATTAAGTCGGGGATCCCTAATCCCTCAAGTCAAGCTTAGACCAAACACTTACCTCAAGCCAACGGGTAATTCACAGCAAATACCACTTAACCTCTCGATTCCATCTCCAATCCGCTCGTATCTAGCCATAATTAACTTAATAACATCAATTAACGCTAAAGAAACCAATTCTAATGCATAGTTAAAGACTTCCCAACATTTTCCTCAAAAAGTCAAAAATCGACCCCGGGCCCGCTTGGTCAAAACCCGAAATTCGGACTAAAACCCGATTAGCCATTCACCCCCGAGCCCGGATATACAATTGGTTTTGGAATCTGACCTCATTTGAGGTCTAAATTCCCAAATTTCGAAATTCCTAAGTTCTACCCAAAAACACCGAATTCCCCTATGAAAACCCCTAGATTCTAGGATAAAATCTTGTAAAAAGATGAAATAGATTGAAAGAAATATGTTAACAATCATTTACCTATGATCTTGGGAAGAACTTGCCCTAGGAGAATCGCCTCTTGAAGTTTAGGTTTTGAAAATGGGAGAATAAATGAAAAATCCCGTCTAAGTTATGTTTTGAACAACTGCAAAATGTCGCATTTGCGACCTCAGCTTCACAAATGCGAACAACCATTGCAAATGCGAAGTTCCCCACACTTCTGTTGCCTTCGCAATTGCGAAGGTAATGATCGCAATTGCGATCAGGGACCTCTCCAAATGCGACAAACAGATCGCATTTGCGATCACACCCCTTCCTAGACTCTCTTCGCAATTTCCAAGACTTTTTCGCATTTCCGAACTCTGCTGGCCCAGGCCTTCATCGCAATTGCGATAAAGACCTCGCAATTTCCATGCCTGTCTTGCTCACATTTGCGAAGCCTGATCTCGCAATTGCTAGATCAGAGGCCTGCAACAGATACTAGATACACCAGCAATTTTCTAAGTTCCAAAATCATTCCGTAGCCTATCCAAAACTCACCCGAGCCCTCAGGGCTCCAAACCAAACATGCACACGTGTCTTAAAACATCATAGAACTTGCTCATGCGATCAAATCGCCAATATAACACCTAGAACTATGAATTCAACACCAAAACACATGATTTAAGATAGTTTCAAAACTTCCATTTTCTCAACCAAATGTCCGAATCACATCAAATCACTTTCGTTTTTTTACCAAATTTCACATATAAGTTTAAATATATAACGGACCTGTACTGGACTCCGGAACCAAAATACCGGCCCAATATCAACAAGATCAAATCTTTTGAATTACTGCATTTTCAGTCTTATATTCTTTCAAAAATTCATTTCCCGGGTTAGGGACCTCGGAATTCGATTCTGGGCATACATCCAGGTCCTATATTTTACCACGGACCCTCCGGGACCGTCGGTACACGGGTCCGGGTCCGTTTACCCAAAATATTGATCGAAGTAAACTAAAATCAACTTTAAAAGGCAGAAGTCATCATTTTTTAAATTTTTCACATAAGGGCTTTCCACATACAAGCCCTGACTATGCACGCGAATCGAGGAGAGATAAAATGAGGTTTCCAAGGCCTCGGAACACGAAATCGGATTCTAAAACAGAAGATGACCTTTTGGGTCTTCACATTCATACACAGGTGCTCCAATCTCCAGTATATTATAATGGAACTTTTCGTGTTACAGCAAAATAGTGGTTATTTTTCAATGAAATTGCAAACGCTGGCTATTTTTAATTACCAATCCGAAAACTGACTAGCTCGTGCTAATTGCACGAAAATAAGGGGAAGGATACTATATATATATACATATATATATATATATATATATATATATATATATATATATATATATATATATATAT